GGCCACTCACCGGGAGGTTTCACCCAATCTCCTTGACGGCATGGGCGATTCGACCCTGATTTTGACCGCAGATTGTAGTCCAGCATCATGCCTTGAGTTAGAGCCCGCTACTAATCGAATCGACGCGGAATTGGTCAAACGCGAGATGATTTTCCGATAGGGAGTAATGGGTGGAGCCACTCACCGGCATGTTTTGACCGACTATCCATGATGGCGTGGACGTTTGGACCCATGTCTTTCACGGGGATTAAATCGTAGTATCATAATCTTAATTCGAGCTCGCTACGACTCGACTGCACGCGAAGATGATTGAATGCGAAACAAGTTCAGGCAGGGAGGAATAGGTGGGGCCACTCACCGGCAAAGGTCCCTTCAATCTCTACAATCGCATGGACGTTTCGATGTAAGTCTTTGGTGGTTATTGAAGCACAATATACCGCCGTGAATTTGAGCGTGCTACGATCTGAATCGACGCAGAATTGGTGAAATGCGAGATGTCTTTCTGATAGGGGGTAATGAGATCACTCACCGGCACGCGTCCTTTCAATCTCTACGATGATGCAGACGTTTCGACCCAAGTCATTCCCGACGATTAAAGCCTAGAAACATACCTTGAATTTAAGCCCGCTACGACTCGACTCGACGCGAAGATGATTGAATGCGAAACAAGTTCAGGCAGGGAGGAATAGGTGGGGCCACTCACCGGCAAAGGTCCCTTCAATCTCTACAATCGCATGGACGTTTCGATGTAAGTCTTTGGTGGTTATTGAAGCACAATATACCGCCGTGAATTTGAGCGTGCTACGATCTGAATCGACGCAGAATTGGTGAAATGCGAGATGTCTTTCTGATAGGGGGTAATGAGATCACTCACCGGCACGCGTCCTTTCAATCTCTACGATGATGCAGACGTTTCGACCCAAGTCATTTAGGTTAGGTTAGGTTAGGTTAGGTTAGGTTAGGTTAGGTTAGGTTAGGTTAGGTTAGGTTAGGTTAGGTTAGGTTAGGTTAGGTTAGGTTAGGTTAGGTTAGGTTAGGTTAGGTTAGGTTAGGTTAGGTTAGGTTAGGTTAGGTTAGGTTAGGTTAGGTTAGGTTAGGTTA